CCTGTATGACAAATAAAAAAATAAGGTGCTAATTCCAAGATACTAGATGTTCAAGATCTTGGGCTAAGTTGATATTCAAGATATTAAGCATAATAGAATAAAAAAATCACCCATAACAATATCATACTATTTATAATGTTTGAAGATGTTTCTATTAATAGAAATTTACTAAATAGCCAAAATTATTAATGACTTGGCAAAAAATAACAAAAAATTAGCATTTATCTCAAAATAGCCAACGAAAACACAGATGAATCAACTCGTCTAGGGTTTCGTTAACTCTCCTATGGTTTCGTCATTTTACTCGATAACTCATCTATAATTTTATCAAATACGTTGCGGTTTCATGGGCCACTAGTGGTTTCGCGACAAATTAGCCCACCCACAGTTTCAAACCTACCAAATTTATCTCTAAAAGAGGATCCGATTAACAATTAGGTAACTACTTTTATACATAGATTTTTTGTTAGTTTTTTTATCATCTAGGTTGAAATCTAGTACTATTTAGTATGTTTATTGCACGATAATCGAAAAAGAAATATATGCCTTCTGCAATGGTACAAGTTTTAATGAATGTCATGTGTATTAACGACTAGCAACATTGCAGTTGGCATAACAGTATACGATTTCGTTCTTTTTTTTCTAATTTTGTTTCCCTTTTTGCGATTTCGTTCTTATGTGGTATCCCATAGTCATCTAATAGTTTCGTTTTTGCTAGCTATCCGAAAAAAGATGAACGAAATCTTAGATGACATGACCATCTGCGAATGTAAAAGTAATCAATGCACAAAATGTGCATTACAAACTTGTACATTCGCAAAATGACCATATTTTCTGCGATTTCGTTCATATTTTTTTTGTTTCAGAGAATGATTAAGTGCAGATGACGTGAGAGGAAACCGCAGATAGCCATATGCCATCTGCGATTCCATGTACTCGAAAATGGAGCAAAATGTTTTTTTATACTTAAGACAAATACCGCAAATGACAATATGAAATCGCAGACGAGTTGACGAAACTACAAACGTGTATGCCTCATCTGTGGTTTCGTTCGCTATTTTTGGATAAGTGTTTAAGTTTTGGTTATTTTAGGCTAACTAATTTAGAATTTTGACTATTTTAGTAAAAAAAAATTATATTAATTGAATTCTCTAATATTAATTATTAAAAAAACTTCATAAATGGTCTATATTGTTTCTTCAGATCTGAAGTTTAGTCCCCGTGGTTTAAGAACATCATAGATGGTCCCTGTGCTTTCAAAATTTTTGACGACTGATCCTTATTGCTAACTCCGTTAAGTTTAGTCCGTTAACTGAAGAGCATTTTCGTCATTTCACTACCACAGAGACCATTTATGATGTTTTCTCTTATTTAAAAAAAATGAAATAATATGCAAAGGGGGTCCCCCCCCTCTCTCTCTCATCCGTTTCTTCCCATGTTCTTGTACGTAAACCTATAAACCACCATGATCAAATTCTTTTCTAGATCATTTCTTATACGAGTCGTCATCATCATCCAATTCAATCCAAGATTTTGCCTTCTTCTTCATCACCATCCTCCTAACACCATATGAATCATAAATTCCAACAAAGAACAACCATTTTCTGGGAATTTGGGGAGGAATCAACAAATCTTCCAAAACCCCCCGATGATGCTCTTAATACACCCAGTTCATCTTTTCTCTTTTTTCTTAGACCTATGTGAAAGGGAAAGAAATGGTAGATCTTGGTTGAACCACACTTTGCTCGCTGATCATGCTTCCTCCTTAGTACATGAAATTAGTGGTCATAACGAATTATGAAATCAAGATATCAAAGCTGAAATCAAAGCTTAAAACCATACCAAAATAATACATGAAATCAAAGCTCAGAACCGAACCTTATAATAAAAAAACATACATGAAATTAATGCCACAGAAGATGATTTTCACCTTGATGATTTTATGGATAACAGATTTGGGTATGTAAAGAAGCAAAAGTCGTCAGAGATTGAAATTCGGTTGATTTTTCCCCAAATACGAGAATACTCGTGTCCAGGTTCATGGATGATAGAGATCGAAACAAGCAGAAGCCGATTTGGGATAAGAAGGACGTCGGGGAAGTTGAACCCTAGCCCTTAACTCTCTTTTGCTCTGATATATATGTCGCCACCATCGATCTCATATGTTCCCTTCAAACCACCTTCTTCAATATCAAACATTTCGAAAACAAAATCGACATGCACGGAGAAAGACAAAGGAATGTGGTTGTTGGTGCGTTTCGGTTACAGGGAGGAAGAACAAGGAGAAAGGGAGTGTGTGTTTTTATTGTATGTTCTTGAGAGAGAGAGAGAGAGAGAAAGAGAGAGAAAGACAAAGGAATGTGGTTGTTGGTGCGTTTCGGTTACAGGGAGGAAGAACAAGGAGAAAGGGAGTATGTGTTTTTATTGTATGTTCTTGAGAGAGAGAGAGAGAGAAAGACAAAGGAATGTGGTTGTTGGTGCGTTTCGGTTACAGGGAGGAAGAACAAGGAGAAAGGGAGTGTGTGTTTTTATTGTATGTTCTTGAGAGAGAGAGAGAGAGAGAGAGAGAGGGGGGGTGGGACCCCCATTGCATATTATTTCATTTTTTTTTAAATAAAAGAAAACATCATAAATGGTCCTTGTGGTAGTGAAAGGATGAAAATGCCCTTCAATTAACAGACAAAACTTAACGGAGTTAGTAATAAGGAGCAATCGTCAAAAGTTTTGAAAGCACACGGACCATCTATGATGTTTTTAAACCACGAGGACTAAACTTCATATCTGGAGAAACCACAGGGACCATTTATGATGTTTTTTCTTAATTATTTTTGTGGGATGTTGGTAGGCAAAATAGAGTTTGATTGGATGGATTTCATAACTCTTATTCTGAAGGTGATAAACCCTCGTTTTGAGACCAATTATAGACCAATCAGTTTTTTATAAACTAATGTTTTCATAAACTTCTTACGATCGACTATAGAGAGTTATTTTATAGATGGTTTCTTTGGTTCGATCTGTTTTTATTCAAGGAGGGCATATTTTGGATGACCCTTTAACTATTACTGAAGTTATTGCTTGGTCTAAAGAGGCAAAGAAGAATTCAGTGAGAGGTAAGGGTTGGGCATGACACAAGGGTTGTTAAGCTCACATCCGTTGTAAGACTTTGTAAGAAATGTTGGATTGTGCCCTCCGAGTAGAAGGTGTCCTTCAGGCTTAGTTGGGTTTGTTTGAAGGCTTAGTTGGGTTTGTTTGATTCTAAATCCAATTGGTTTTAAAAAAAGCTTATAATTCTTTTAGTTGGTAATATCTTGATTCCTTTATGAAGTCGATGTTTTTCAACCAAATGGGGAAGATGGATAAGTAGTTCTGCATATGGTTGCATTCTTTCTATGTATCAATTATAAAAGGGATTTTCTAATATGTGCCCTAAGGGCACATATAAGAAGCATTAATTAATGACAAATATTACTATAATTAAATGTAAAATACATTAATTATAAGGAATATTACAATAATTAAATGTGAAATGCATTAATAATTACCATAATAAATGTATTTTGAATTTAATTATGGTAATATTTTTCATAATTAATACTTCTTATATGTGCCCTTAGGACATATATTAGAAAATCCCATTATAAAAAGTTCATTAAATGATTATGTATCTTCTTATTTATTTTAGTCATGTAAGGCGTGCATGTGATCATGATTGAAGCTTGAAGTAATGGTGTGTTTTAAGGTGTGTATGTAGGTGTGAATACCTTTAAGATCCCACATCTATTCTTTTCTTTTCCTTTTTTTTTCTTTTTTTTAGGAAATGATGCAATTATTTGGAAGATTGGTCGAAGGAGAATATGTTGGAGATTATTTGACTTTTCAAATGTTTTTATTTGTTGTCTGGGTTTGAATATTTATGTTTTAAATATTTTAAAGATTAATCTCCAAATATTATTGGTTTGTAAAGCAACAAAGTTTTCGTGTGATTATCTTGACCTTTGTATCGGGAACAAAATGACCAAAAAAAAGATGGTTAGAAACCTATTTATAAGCAACAATTTGAGAAAAAAAAAATCATCACATTGGAAGGTGAAGATTTAATTAAATTGGATGAAGATCTACAATTATAAAGTTTGCTCTTGCTAGTTTAGGTAGTTATTATCTGTCCTTGCTCAAAATCCAAAATTTATTTTAGACATCTTGATAGGCCTAAGCCAAATATACTCTGGGATGGTGAAACCAATGAAAGTAAAATTAGTTCGGTCAAGACAAAGAAGGTATTGCCCCTACATGTGGTTCAATAATCTAGATATGGAATCATACGGTTGGTAGGCTATAAAAGGTATGGAGTCCCATAATCTAGATATGGAATCACATATGATAATAAAAGTGGGTAACAGGAAAAACATACACTTCTACCTCCCGTTGAATCCCAAAAATAAGGTTAGGGGGTCGCAAAGTATCCTCTAAAAAAAAGGTGCCCGAAAATTGAAAACTGATTTGGGCCTTTGAAGCATAAATTGGACTTCCCCGTGTGAAGTTTAGTTTATAAATATTTTTATAGTATGGAATATGGTATAAGATTTCTAGTTTCTAAACATCTCCTATTTTATTCGTTAAAGTTCCAACAAGTTTAAATGTCAAGTTTATTTGGGCTCCATATCTTTGATCAAAGTTGGCTTTTTTTTTTCCACTCAGATTATAATCTAAAATATGTATTCCATTTTCGTAATTACGAAAAAGAGGATAATTAAACCGCTGAGCCATATTTAAGGTAGAAAAATAGAAAAATAGCTTAAGAAAAATGAAAATGGATGGGTTGAGCAAAATAACTAAAAACAATAATAAGATCTTCATGTTACTATTAAACACTGATAAATTAACCTCAAATAATCAGATTAAAAAATGAATTACCGAAGCTTTTGAAAGTTGAAAATCACAACAGAAAGTTGGTCACAAACAAACAAATGTTGAGAGCCAACATCTAATTCAAATTTATTTTTGCCCATTTCAGCTACTTGGGCAAACCTTTTAACCCAAAATACTGACATATTCTTTCAATTTAGATTCGGGCTTTGTCACGGTTTTACAAGGGTATGAACAGAAGAACAGCTCATTCTAAAACTAAAACCAAGAAACAACAATCAATACGTGATGCAAAAAGGGATGACTATGAAGCCTCTCTTTGAATCTTTTCAACTTCTTCCCGATGTTTTCTTTCTGCCTCTTCAAGTTCTCTTTCTGCATCTTCTTTGTCCTCTTTAATGTCACGAGCTTCAAACTCCTTGGCTGCTGCCATGGCTTTCACAACAGGGTCTCTTAGTTCGGATATCAACCCACCACCCACCCTGTATTCTTCTTCATCTCCAATCAGGTATAGACGCTGATCGGGTCCCGTTGCCATTGGAATGTCAACCGATAGCAACTTCATATCATACTGCCAATTACAATAATAATAAATACATGCCTTTCTTTTTTTCTTTTCTTTTTTTTTAAAAAAAAAAGTAACTGACCTGGCCACTTTTGTTCTTGACTTCAACACTAACTAAGCCTTTCATCTCTGCCCCTCGTATTGGAAAAATAAGAAAACATCGTTTGCTCCTGAGAGCTGCTTTGAAGTTTTTTAGTGTGACACCGCCTCCTGACATAACATATGCTCTTAGATCTGTTCCAGTGAGTGGAGCACCCATGATCTCAAGAATGTCAGCTGATGTGTTCAGTTTTCTCATTGCCATTCTATAGACTTTGTCAGGGTTTATAGTGAATCTTGATCGCAGATACAACCCCTTAACACATCATAAAATCCAGTTAATGATAGTAACCAAAGTGCAATAACAGATGAATAGAGTCATATGATCATGTGACATATGACATGTCTGTCCAAACACATCCTACAGTCTGTAAACTTGGTAATAAAAGAGAAGAACCTACTTTGACCCAAAGAATACTAAAAGCCTCAGTGTATCCAATACTATCAGCAATCAATATAATGAACATTAATTGGATCAAAAGAAGAAACTCACAGTAAATGCGACGATAGCTGAGGAAAGAGCAAGAAAACCATACTTGGCCATACCCTCGGATAACCCAATAAAAGTATTTGCGATCCCAAACATAATCCTCCAAAGCAAAATACAAACCAAAACCCCACCAGCACCCCACAAAACCATGCTGTTCCTCCTCCAAAACGCCTCCATCTGCAATCCAACAGCATGCTTATACCTAGAAAACGCATTCTTAACTGCTGTACCGGGTTCTTTAATCTTGCTCTTCAACAAATTCACATCCAATTTACCACCCAGATTCGAACTCCCAGTGGAGATGTACCTGAACCCAAGGAAATTCCGGGTCAAATTGGTTTCCACGGATAGTTTATGAGATGGATTTTGGGAAATTTTCGACACTGAAGAGGGCAATAAGCTGGGTAAGCGACATGATGGAATCCATGGGTTTAGTTTAGGGTTCCGAGAGATAATTTGAGAAATGGGAGTCGATGAAATTGGGGGGTTGGGTAGCGACAAGGGCTTTGAATGGCGATGATGAAGATACCTAAGGAGAATTACTTTAGAAGACGAGGGTTTTGACATATCCGTAAAAATTAGATTCACAGGAGCACAAACTCGGAAGAGATCAAAGCAATTATATAACAGATCAAATCAAAATTGGTTGATCGATTGCTTGACCTTACTTAACTCGTCAACGGAGACGTCTGGTAGCTTATATATTATGCAAGCCTGGTTTCAGAGAGGAAGGGGTTGAGCACGACTGTCTGACTGGCACTGTGCACCTCTGTGATGTGACTTTTACTGGATCCGAATAGGAATTGATCGGTTCAAGAGTTCAAGACATTGTTTTGGGCTTCCAGCTTACGAGCTCATCAAGACTTCTGGGCCCTTTGCCTTTCACCCTAAAAAGCAGAGTAACAAATTTCTCATAATGTCATAATCTTGGAGGTAAGGAGAGGGTGTCTAGAATTTCATTTAACAACAATTTATTAATTTTTAATTAAACTTTTTAAAAAGTTAATAAATAAAAAAATATTTAATTATATAAAAATAACTTTTAAAGTAAGTTCTTATCAACCCTTCAAAAATAAGATTACAATAAATTATAATTTATATCTTTTTAAAACTTCTTATGACTTTTTGGGTTGTAAAAGACAAATATTTTTTAAAACCTATATAAACTAAGACAAACATTTTTAAAAAAAATAACTTATTGAATTATTGATTTTTTTCCACAACAAAAGCTAATCCAAAAAAAAAAAAAAAAAAAAAAACTCTTTTTTCTCACCAATATAAGTCAATAAGTCATTTTGTTTAAAAGTCTTTTTTTTTAAATTCAAAATGAAATCCTAAACATCCTCTTAGTAGATATACACCTTGGAGGAGGCAAAGAACACGATCTCCTTAGTATTCTAGTGTTAGGGTCTGAGCAACGGGCTGAAAAGGTCTTCAAAATGGTCTCAGATTGGTCCGATTTTTTTGGGACCAATCTTGAAACGGTCAAGTATATTTTTGGATCGGTCTCGAGCAATCTTGAGCTGGTCTTTTTTCTATCCGATATTTTTAGAACCAGTCTCAATAATTTGGTTCGAATCTCGTGATCTTTGAATGCATCTTTTCGGTTCAGTTTCTGGGTTTTTCAGTTTTTTGTTTCGGTTCGAGTTTTTCCATTAACAAATGTGGGATTATCACTAAAACGATACATTAAGATTTACAAAAAATGATATATTAAAATTTAATAAAAGAAATAAGAGAAAAATTTTGGTAATGTGTGTTTAAAAATTATGTAATTGTAACATCCCGACTCCCAGGTACAATATTTAATTAATTTATGTTCATATTTTCAGAGCAACTCGACGAGTTGGATGCCCTAACTCGCCGAGTAGAGGAGTTAATTGGCCGCGTGATTCTAGAGTCTACTCAACGAGTTGGAGGACCCCAACTCGACAAGTAGGTGATGAGTGAGAAAACCCTAATTTTCAGGGTTTGTGTCCTATTTAAAGGACCTTAAGCCCTCATTTCCGCCACCCTTGTCACCTTAATACCATGTGAGAAACCCTAATTGTGAGTATTTGTTTGTGTGAGAGAGAGAGGAGCTAACTTTGGGTGTTCTAGTGCATATTTGGAAGAGGATTGAAGAGCATCAAGCCTTGGAACGAGAAGAGGCTTTTGGGTCAAGAGTTTTTCTGTGCTAGCTTCAGTTTGGAGGTAAAAAGCTACCACCTTGAGTAATCCTTTTATAGATCTCCTTCTAGGGAGTTTTAGCCCCCCCCCCCCATATCTTGTAGTTTTGAGTTGCTCAAGCTTGTCATGGAGTTGAGACTCAAAAGGAGGTCCCATGAGCCCAAAGATTCAAGATTTATCAAGCTTTGGACAAGTCTCTATGCATGAAACCCCTTATGGAGCTTGTTATGGCATTTTGAGCCCTAGATGTTGTGCATGAACGTAAAGCTTGCAAATTTACGTGATAAGCGAGCCTTAGAAGGTTAGATCCAGAGTATGAGATGTCATTTCTGCCTAAAAACGTCTGAATGAGGAAAGGGTTTGAAGGGACTCGACGAGTCGGTGAGCTGACTCGATGAGTCGGTTAGGGTTTTCCCCAACAAGTTTGGACACGGTGTAACTCGGCGAGTTAATGAGACAAATCGACGAGTTGAGTTGGACTTTTGCGATATTTCTGGGAAAACGAAGGAACTCGACGAGTCGTATAGATGCACTCGACGAGATGAGTCAACATGGACGGTTGACTCGAGTATTGACTTATGTTGACTTTTAGGGTTTGGTCAAGACATGGATTATGGAGACCATGGAAGGGTAAAATGGTCTTTTACCCTTTCCAAGAGTTAGAGAGAGAGGTTAGCTTAAATTATTTGAGTTGAGGTTATAAGTGTTAATTAGAGATGATTATGACGTGTAAGCGAGGATTAGACCGTTCAAGGGGTGCGAGGTTTACTTGCTTACTTACGAGGTGAGTCTTCTCACTATACTTACCATGATTGGTAACCTTGTGTGACCGGAGGGTCTTGTATGCTCTTACTGAGTATTATGATATCCTGCATCATGTCTTTGTGATTTATGTTGTGTATTATTCTGAGCTTTATTGAGTTAGGACCGGAGGGTCCAACCCGAGTTGTGGGACCGAAGGGTCTCCACTGAGGCACATTTGACCAGAGGGTCTTATTCAAGATATAGCTATGAGAGGCTAATGAGATGTGTGTGGTATTTTGGGAAACTCACTAAACTTCGTGCTTACCGTATTATGTTATATGTGTTTCAGGTACTTCTCAGGATCGTGGGAAGGCGCCGGTTTGATTGTACACACGAGATGGAGTTATGTTTTGAGAATCCTGGATTTTTATTCAAACAATTATGGATTTGTGTTTTTGATAATTGACACTTTAAGATTTTTGTGAAATGTGTTAATGAGAACTATGTGATTTAAAAATGAAAACCGGGTTAACCCTTCAGAAAATCTAAAAGGACTATTTCAACCCGAAAAAAAAGTCATTGTATACCCCCATAATGCCAAAAAAAAGAAAAAGTAGTGAATGTTTAGACCAATTCCTGAACTTTGTATGGCTACAATGTCATTTTCCATGCTATACATAAATAAATAAATAATAAATTCTTATTTAGCTTTTTTGGATTATTCGATTCTTATTTTATAAACAAAAATCAATTCGAAATCCAAAAAAATTATTCAGTTTTCCTGAAAACCAATCAAAAAATCTGAATATCAAAACCAAATAGTCTAAAAAATTCGGTTTTATCCAAATAATAACTCATATATACATGTGTTTCTTTCTTAACCCTCTATCTATTTGACCTTTCAATATTTTCTTGTTTCAAACTTTCACCATGTTAAAATTGATACACACACACACATATATATATATATATATATATATATATATATATATATAGAGAGAGAGAGAGAGAGGATAAAATTGTTATTTAGTTTTATTTATAATGGTTTTTTTAGGTGGATAAAAACACCATTTTATCTTTGTAACACTTAATGGGGAGAAAAAAGAACCCTAACATTATATTTGTAGGCATTGACGTTCCACAAACTATAAAACAAGGAAAAAAATGATAGGTCTGGTTATCTTCTATTTTACAGTAAATTAAGATGTTTCAAAGAATAAGTGTTAATTTCCAAATTTTTGATAAATACCCACATTTTTTCCATTCACATTTAGGTCTGGCAGTTATTTGCAGTCCATCTGATTTACTTAAATACCCTTCCGCGTTCTTTGAAATCACGTACAGGTTTTTCAAAAGCCGAAGGTTATTATAGTCATTACAAATTTAAACGGGAATAAGGCGGGTACCATCCAGTCCATTAAATCCGGAGTCTTCTCCTGTTCAGAGCATCTCTCTCTCTTCTCTCAAACACACCGAAAGAGCTTTGAACATCGCAATCAGTAATTCTTGTAGCTGTAAATCATTTCTTTCGAATCAATTTCACTTTCGTGAAAAGGATAGTCAAATCCGTAAGCTACTTTCCTCTTCAATTTTGGTTTCATTGATTTCTTGTGAAAGATTGGATGTAAGATGTTGATTATGATTAGTAGTGATTACTGATTTCGGTGATTCAGTTCATCTTCGTAATTTTCATTATCATCTATGATTCTGTTTTGCACAATCTGTGTTAGATATGATTGAATTGTATTTAATCCATGGTTTTAAATTTTTGCTTCATTGACGTTTTCTGATGTGGTAGAATGAAAGGTGACATGAAAGTAGTATTAGATTACAATTGAATTCAGTGCAAAATTTCAGACTAATCGGACTTTTGGATGAAATCAAATGGTAATGATGATCAAGAATCAAATTCAAACAACCTAATCAATCAAGAACGATCAAGAACACAAAACAGAGTAAACGATAACAGACCTTACAACAGGATTCACAGAAATAACACCCCAGTTGCTAACTATACTCTATCAATGTTGTAATATGTTTTTCTGGTGACCTCTAACATGAACATTTTTCTTTACTTGCGTGAATGATTTGAGTTTTGACATCTCTGTTGGATTTTGCACTTTTGTGAGTTGATGAATTTAGATAACAAGCAATGATAAAGAAGTTTTCAATCAATAGAAATTATATCTATATTGATTATGTGCAAGTAAACAAGACCCTTTTGAATGTTTTGACACAATTAAAGGGTCGGAAGCAAGTCTTAATCTTATGCTCTGATATATCAAGTATTGCAGGGTAGTTGGTTTCTTGATATGGAGGGCGACGAATCAAAAGCACAGTCACAAGGGCAGGATAGTCAGATTACGTCACAAAATGTGCAAGGTAAGATCCTTACAGTTACAAAACATGTATTGTTGAGCCATCTTTTCATGAATTTGCTGTCTATGGTTCTTTTTGAAGAATCTTTGAAATATTTATATTACAATCTATATACTAATTGAGCTTGAAATTTCTTGGAAACTAGGGTTCGAGCAATGTGTCAAAGAAATCCTTAAGCAGATCGACGAAGATGAAAATTTCTCCAAAGTAATAGCCGAATTTTACGATAGCAAGAAGTCGAACATGACAAAACTGGTAACCGAGTTATCGCGTGTGCATGGGGAATTGGCTGATGAAAATGTTCATTTGATTAAAGAAGTCAACAAGAACAAGGCAAAATCACACTCACAAGGGCAGGATAGTCAAAATATGCCAGAAAATTCTTCATTCCTTTTCGAAAATGTGGAAGGTAAAAGATCCTTACAAAACATGAAAATTTACAAAATGTTTCTATCACTAAACAAATCAATATGCTAATTGAGCTTGAAATTTCTTGGAAATTAAGGTTCCAGCAGTGTGTTAAAGAGATCCTTAACGTGATTGAGCAAGATGAAAATTTACCCAAAATTGGCGATTTCAAGAAGCCTAAATTGACAACAATGGTTACAGAGTTATCTCGCATGCACATGGCGTTGGCTGATGAACATGTTCATTTGATTAAAGAAGTGAGCAAGAACACTCATAAATCTACAACACCTATCAAAACAGAGCATGTTGATTCTTCTACTTCAACCTCTCCTCAAATGAGTAAAACACCTGAATTCAAGACACCTGTTGGTTATGAATTTACTCTAGACACTAGTGGAGTTGGTTTTCGTTTTTCAACAAGAGAAGGCTCAGAATCTTCCTTCGCATTATCATCAAATCCCGATCAGTTAGAATCCACCAAGAAGCATCTAAATCCACCAGTCAAGACTGATGAATCGAAAGTGAAAGAAACCAAAGTCCATGACCCTGAACCTGAGGTGTTAGTGTTACGCAAAAAGATTTCAACTCTTGAAAAAAACTAGGGCCGGCAAAATTGTACCATGGAAAACCAACCAACATGTTACCAACCGAACCAAGAAACTTGGTAGCCAACATGTTTGGTTGGTAGTACCTTGGTACAGTAATGGTACTAAAATTGGAATACCATGGTAATACCGTACCAACCAATTCATTTGATATATATATATATATATATATATATATATATATATATATATATATTTCAACTGTTAATTGTATTTAGTGTTTACAGTTTTAATAACATTATAGTAGTTATTTGGTCGTATTAGTCGATAGTTATTACCACGTTAAAGCACAATATTAAAACGTTACTTTAGCGTTACTTCAGTAGAATTCTTTTGTAAACTAAAAGAACTATGTAACTAATTTCTATACTACAAATCAAAATCCCAATGTCTTTGCTTATTTTTAAATCTTATAATAGAAAATTAAAAGAAGTTGGTATATACCATTACCAATTTGTACCAACCAAACTTGTTGGTAGCCAAATAAATTGGTACCAAGTATACTTGGTACGGTACCGGTAGCAATTTTTTAATACCAATTATAGTTGGTACGGTACACGGTTTAGAGAAAAATGAATTGGTACCGTACCAATTTCACCCCTAAAAAAAACAGCTTACTTTGAAGAAAAAGATTCAGGATTTAACAGACGAAAATGTGTTTCTTGAAGCTGAGAAAGCTAACGCGGCTGAGCTTAAACTTACGGTTGCTGAGACAAATCGTGGGTATGAAAAAATGTTCGGTGTTCTAGAGGCCTCCGGACAACAAGTAATAAAATCGGACGAAGAAAATAAAAATCTGAAAAATGAGTTGACTAACAAGATTCTTGGCATAACTGGTCGTTTACAGACGGAATATGATAAAGTAGAAGCTCAGAATCTAAAATTGCATGAGGAAGTAGCTTTAGGCCTAACTGAAATAGCAAAGCGAGATGAACAAATTATAGAACAGAGTATCCAGATTGATCTACTCAAAAATTCTCATGCGACTGAAGAGGATAGAATGAATAGCGATATTGAAAGGTTGGAAATGGAACTTAAGGAAAAGTGTGAGTTGGTTGATGCTCTGAACAAGAAGCATGATGCTCTAAAGATATGTACATATGAACTAAAACTGAAATTGAAAGGTGTGGAATTGGATAGCGAGAGGGAAGTGACGTCTGAAGATGCAGTTTGAAGATCTTGTGTAAGGAAAATGGATGTGTGTGTTTGGCGACGTAAATACAAAGAATATGGGTTGTAGTTGTAAATAAAGTCAAATGCTGGTTTGACTTTAACCATGTAGATGTGTATTGTGATGAATTTGAGATTGACTTAGGGCCTGTTTGTTTGGCTCTTAATGCCTCTTAAAAAGAGACACCTCTGAATCTTATAAATTCAGAGCGTTTGTTTAGCACTTAAGTTAGCCTCTTAATTGGATAAAAATGTCTGACCGAATCAGATGGAAAATCAAGTCTGAAAAAAAGAGCACGCCTTATCTTTATCTTTTCCAATCCCTACCCTCTTATCCTCTTCTCTATTTTCCTGCGACCATCAAAAAACCTCCGACCATCTCTCCCCTGCATCTCGTCGGACCTCACAGAGGACCACCGTCGTTGTCCCACGCAACGTCGCACACACCATCGTCGGACATCGTCGCACGCACCGTTAGCACCACCGACCCCTTCTCCTCCCCCACCCCCTGATCTGCCTCCCTCTGCCAGTGACGACGTCGTCACCAGCTTGCCGGTCACTGCCCCAGTTAGCCTCGTCAAACTTGTCGACAACAGCATCGGGTAATTGTTGTGTATCTGAAATCGACTTTATACTTGTGTTAATTTCTGAAAACGAATTTCTTAATCAAATTGTAAGCTCGAGTTATGATTTTTAATTTCAAGAAATTCATAGGGTATTAAAGGAATTTGGCCAATCTCTTTTAACTTGATCCATGATCTTGATTGATATCATTTCTTCTTTTTTTACTGTGGGTTTGATGAAAAAATCGACATTTCTCTTTGATTGATTCTTCTGGTCAACAATATTTTAAGTGGTGCTAGAATGCAAAATCTTCTAGTAAACAATATGTTAAGTTTTTTACTAATGAAGGTGAATCATTGTGATTTTTATCGAATGTCAAACTCATGAACTGGATGCTGAGAAGCTGGAAGATAGAGAGTCGAATGGAAAAATGTATGTATTTCTATTGATTTGCACTCAGGTGAAATAAGAGCTATTGTGTAAACATCGATGGTCTAATTTTGAGCCTTTTTTCCTTTGATGTAATATATATTGAACTTTTGATGTTGTTTGGATCGAAATAGTCTACTTTTGAGTTTTTTTTTCCTTTGATGTAATATATTATAATTACTTAGAGAGTTGGATTAGTTATTTTTTTGAAATGAAAATATTGAAATCAGTAAAAAATAATATAGAAGGGTAAAATGGTCATTTTTATTATTCAGCACAACAATTCAGAGGTTCCAACCAAACAGCATTTTAAAAATTCAGATCTTAAAAATTCAGACCCTCTTAAAAATTCAGACCTCTTAAAAATTCAGATCTTAAATATTCAGATCCTGCCGAACAACCTCTTAGTCTCATTATTCAAGTGTTGAGTTTTATTCCTTGTTTCCTTCTGTACGCATACATACACAAAGCAATAAGAGAACCCAGTTCATGGATGGCAATTTGGTGTCCTTTTTTTTGTTCTATTTCCTTCACAAACACGTTTACACACACATTTTGCATAACAAATTGGTATTAGAGCTACAAGGTGAACGAAATCTAGTTCGGGTCATCGTGGACCGATTGACCAAGAGTGCCGAAGACGGCAAAGGGTTTTGATGATATTTGGGTCATCGTGGACCGATTGACCAAGAGTGCCCACTTTCTGGCGATTCGGGAGAGCTCGTCGGCCGAAAAGTTGGCCGATGTGTATATTCGCGAGATCATTGCTCGACATCGGGTTCCGGTCTCTAGTGTTTCAGGTCGTGATGTTTGGTTCACCTCTCGATTTTGGCAGAAGTTCCATGAGGAAATGGGCACAAGGCTACACTTCAACACAACATATCATCTACAGACCGACGGCCAGAGTGAGCGGACCATTCAGACTGTGGAGGATATGTTGCGAGCTTGCGTTATTGAATTTGGTGGGAGCTGGGACTCCTACCTACCTCTTGCAGAGTTCTCCTACAGCAAAAGTTTCCACTCCAGCATCGGTGCTCCGTCTTTAGAGCTTTTGTATGGTCAGAGATGTCGCACCCGAGTCTGTTGGGGCGAGGTTGACCACTGTTGGATTAGTGTCTAAGTCCATAACTATATTTGGTATGTATTTGACCCGACTCGGCATGGTCCATTTGGGTTGCATGGCATCATGCATTTGGATAGACTAAAATGAGAGAAATAACACTTAAGGTTTGGTAATATATTATAAGTTCTAATATATTAATAAGATTATTTAATTAGTATTGATCAAGAATTAATTTGGAATTAATTAAGTAATCAAAAGGAGACTAATTAAATATATGGGTTGATTGTGTAAATCATCCATGCTTATATAGTGGGCTAATGCTCCATGGATTATCAAGTTGGGCTAAAACCCATAGGATGCTCCATTGTGTTTTTGTACCCATGGATCATGGAAATGAAAGGCCATGACAATTAGGGTTTACATGGTGTAACCCTAATTGTGACACACTATATAAGCATTTTATTCTTCCCAAAATTGGCAACCATGTGAGACTATGAAGAAATGGTGAGGGCTAGCCGATTTCATGAAGTGTTCATTTCTCTCTAAGTTATTCCAAGTGCATTTGATGTTGTGTGAACCATTTGAGGTGTCACACTTGGGGCACTCGGCTCTTAAGCATCAAGGAATCAAGCAACATAAAAAGGTATGTCTTCTAACTTGTTTTATTACCAAAATTGTGACACACTATATAAGCATTTTATTCTTCCCAAAATTGGCAACCATGTGAGACTATGAAGAAATGGTGAGGGCTAGCCGATTTCATGAAGTGTTCATTTCTCTCTAAGTTATTCCAAGTGCATTTGATGTTGTGTGAACCATTTGAGGTGTCACACTTGGGGCACTCGGCTCTTAACCATCAAGGAATCAAGCAACATAAAAAGGTATGTCTTCTAACTTGTTTTATTACCCAAGCATCTAAGTTTGTATGCTAGTTAGGGTAATACCTTGTAATATTCATATTTGCATGTATAATAGAGAAAACAAAGATCCAAGGTATTTAGGGTGGCATGTACACTTAGGAGTGTTATAATGCTCAAAACCCAACAGTAGTATCAGAGCCTAGGCTTGTTTTCAATTATACTTTATGCAAATTGCTGAAAAAACTGAAAAAAATCGATTTTCTGGCTGTCTGGGCACTAGACTCGCCGAGTCCACTGATGAACTCGCCGAGTCCATGAAGAAAATCATCCTACTCGTCGAGTAGGTTCATACACTCGACGAGTAGGAGCCCCAGACAGCATATTTTCGAGTTTTTTGGCTGGAATTGGACTAGGAACATTACCCTAAGCTGTTTTTGAACTTATAAACATATTTTTGATGTGGTAATGTTCATGCTAATCCAATTTCAAAGATAATTGTCAATAGAATCATGTTTTTTATTAGTTTAAGGGTTAGGCTAATTACATGAAAAAGTTTGATTGAAGTATCTTGTTCTTATAAGTTGCTTAGATTAATAGGAATGTTATGTGAAATTGTAGTTTTCAATCCAAATTAATCTAAGAGTTGATTCTAAAATGTGTTTTTGTAACTTGTCCTCAAGTTATATGAAAAGTCACATTTAAGATTCATAAAACTCATAAATATTTCCATAGGTTATGAATAAAGAAGAGTCATATTCTTTTAATAGTTTAAAGTCTTCCATAACTTGTCCTCAAGTTATGGAACTTGAAGAGTTTTTGAATTAAAACTACTTTAAACACATAAGTTATGGAATTGAAAAGTTTTTGAATAGTTCAAAACTTGCCCTCAAGTTTTGGAATTTGAAAAGTTTTCTTTCATGAATACTTTAATTCCAAATTAAGCCCTTAGGATTTTAAAAGTTAAAATTCAACCCTTATACTTTATAATATTATAAGTTAATAATATATATATATATATATATATATATATATATATATATATATGTAAGAGCAAGTCGTCTTACTATTAGTAGGCCTCATTTACGAAGCCGGTCTATAAGGGGGGTATAAGGTTACTGCCTATAAAATGGCGGTTTAATGGGTGTCCACTCTCACCCACCGCTTCCTTCACTGGTGGAGGGTCGTTAGCCGAACGGGTAGGACAAGGACTATAATTCTCCCTTCATTATAAGTATAATGATAAATACTAAGTAACTAAACACTTATAAATTCTCAATCTTAGTTACTTAGGAAAATGTGAATAAGGTGCTAACCTATGAAATTACACTTTGCACTTTGCTTAAGTCGGTTAGTGGAGCTCGTGTGGTTAACCGGCACACTAGCTTAATTTAACAAGGTAGGCAAAGGGTTTCTTAAAGTTTATCATAGGCTGGTGGAGTGTGTGTGGTTAACCGACACATCGGTTGGGTGATAAACATTTAAGAGTACCAAGTAATTTGTATGGTTACTTCACACCTTGTTTTGTGATCCTCGGCATCCCAGTCACAAAACCTGAAGGGCACAATCGAGATTGAAACATGCCATTGAACAGTTCAATGAATCTCAAAAGATCTAGGAGTTTCAAATCCAATTAAAACCTAATAAATTATTTCGTTTTTCATGGTGGAAATTGGTGAATCGTCATTCGCCTACCTTTAAATATTCTATAGCTTGGATTACGACATCCCTCTTCCAAGTTATAAAATATTGTGTTGGGTCCTAGCCTTAATATTTCATATTGGGTGTTATATTAAGGACTTTGAATCAACTATCTTGAATATCTCCCAAAAGATGTCTAGTTCAGACATTTGTGATCTTCCCAAATCTCTTGGAACTTCACTTTCCCCACCTCCTCCAATTTTTCTCCCTAACCCACAAGTTCAAGGTCACTCAAGCCCTATTGACATGCAAGGTGTATGTGTGATCGAATCTTGGAGATGAAGTCACATACTGACAAACCGGGAGAGTTGGGTGTCAAAGTCTTAAGAAAGTCGGATTTTCAATCACTTTCTAAGTTACATAGTTAGTTCCTTTGGGACTGCTATGAAA